GGTGATAGAAATGACGCATGATAGAATTTTCAAGACCAATGACTTTTTCTTTGCAAATACCTTTTTTAAACAACATGAAAGGCTACTGGAGTCCTGGTGTGGCACAGCAAGATAATGTGATGGACTGTAAGGTCAGTTCAAACCCACAAGTGGCTCCTTGGAAACCCTATACAGAGTCAATATAGGTCAGAACTAACTTGATGGCACTTAACAACAACAAAAGGCTATTATGCATCTGGACCTCACAGATGGAATACACAGGAATCAAATTGACTACATCTGTGGGATGCGATAATTGAAAAGCTCCATATCATCAGACAAAACAAGGCCAAGGGCAGACTGTGGAACAGACCATCAATTGCTCATACGCAAGTTCAGGCTAGTGGTTGTGTAACACTGAGTCAATTCCAACACATAGCGACCCTGTCTAGGGTTTCTGAAGCTATAAATCTTTACAAGTACAGAAAATCTCCTGCGGAGCAACTGGTAGGTTCCAACAACTGACCTTATAGTTAGCAGTCCAGCTCATAATCCATGATACTACCATGGCTTCTAGTTCAGGCTGAAGCTGAAGAAAATTGAAAATTAAAACAAGTCCACAAGAACCAAAATATGGCCTTGAACATATCCTGCCTGAATTTAGAGACCATCTCAAAAGCACATTTGATGATTCAACATTAATGACTGAAGATCAGAAAAGTTGTGAAATGACATCAATAACATCAAACAGGAAGAAAGGTCATTACAGAATAGACTAAACTGGATGTCAGAAGAGACTCTGAAATTTGCTTTCCAGTGTAGATGCTAAAGCAAGTGAAAGAAAGGAGGAGGTAAAATTGCTGAGTAGAAAGTGCAGCTCAAGAAGACCTGGAGTTAGAAAACTAAAAGGGAAGAACATGCTCATCGTTCCTCAAGTTGAAATAACTAAAGAAAAAATTCAAGCCTCAACTTGCTATGTTGATGGATTCTGGTGTGGTGCTGTGGGATAATGCATTGGACCTCAAGGTCAGTTTGAACCTCAAGGAAGTAAGAGAGCTGACCAGAACATTGTAAAGGGCAGCTTGAGAAGACAAAGTATTATAATGAAATGTGCAAGAACCTAGAGTTATAAAACCAGAAGGGAAGATCATAACTCAGTATTTCCCAAACTGAAAAAAAATTCAGGAAAAATTCAAACCTCAACATGCAATTTAGAAGGGCATACTATTGAATAATACAGAAATCATCAAAATAAGATAGAAGGGATAAACTGAGTCACTATTCCAAAAATAAATGATCTATGTTCAATCATTTCAAAAGGTATCATATGATTAAGAATCAATGGAACTGAAGGAAGAAGTCCAAGCTGCACTGAAGGCATTTATGAAAAACAAGGCTCCGGGAAATGATGGAATACAAATTCAAATCTTTCAACAAACGGATGCAGCACTGAAGACACTCACTCATCTAAGCAATGAAATTTGGAAGACAAAGTATTATAATGAAATGTGCAAGAACCTAGAGTTAGAAAACCTGGCCAACTGATTATAAGAGATTCATATTTGTGCCCATTCCAAAAAGAGGTAATCCAACAGAATAAGAATATCATTGAACAATATCATTAATATCACAGGCTAGTAAAATTTTGCTTAAAATAATCCAAAAATGACTGTAACAGTACTTGAAGAAAGAACAGCTGGAAATTCAAGCTGGATTCAGAAGTGGACATGGAATGAGGGATATCACTGCTTATGTCAAATGGATCTTGGCTGAAAGCAGAGAATACCAAAAAGATGTTTACTTGTTGCGATACCTTGAATTTACTTAATATGGCTTTTCTATACAATGTCTTCTCAACTCCCAGCAAGTGATTGGGTGGGAATCTACACTAGGATCGGTTAGTTTTGTCATCCAGCTAGGTTATAGGGAGCCATCTCAGAAGCAGGAACAGACGAGCCCAGGACCATCAAGAAGGAAGAACACGAGTGGAGCATGAGACCCCTACCTAGAAAACTGACAATGGTGGGTGTGGTGGCAAAGGCAGTAGCATGGAGACACAGAGCAGCTGCTGGCTCTAGGCCCATGGACTAAGTAAAGCTAAGTGCCTACAGGCAGGAAACCGACTTGCAGAATGTGCCCTTTAGGTATTCACAGACTGGCTAAAAGAGCTGTGAAACATTTGCCTAAGCAGAGCAGAGACAAGGGGCAACATGGCTGAGAAGCCAAAGACAAGAGTGAGGCGTGTCTTCTGTAAGCAGAGAAGAGGTAAGTGTTCCTCGTTAGAAAACAGCTTCATCCTGAACTGGTTTTGATCCTGAATGGTTTGAACCCTGTTCACTTCCCTAATAAACCCCATAGTCATGAGTATTGTTATGAGTTCTGTGTGGCCATCACAATGGACTGTCAAACACTGTGGGAGATGGTTGGTGTCTCAACAACAATAACAAAACAAAATTTAGAAATTAAAAAAAGTACTGCCTTGGAAGAGGGTCTGTGATGGGCCATGTAGCCAGGGGCTGTGGTGGTCTCTAGACTCAGAGCCACCAAGGATCTCCAGTCCTACAACTGGAGAGAACTATTCTGCTAATAAACACACACGCTTGGAAGAGGACCTCCAGTTCCAGAAAGAAATCAGCAGACACCTTGATAGCAACCTGGTGAGACCCTTCAAGACCCAACTCAGTGCTGCCTGGGCTCATGACCCACGAAATTGGGAGAAGATTTTGGCTCTTACGTAGGTAGTAATTTGTTATGCAATGACAGCTAGCTAGTACATGCACTATCTGACCCAGGTCCTGGCTTGAGGCTTGGCGATAGTTTCAGAGGCACTGCCTTTCCTACCTTATTCGGGGATTCACAGGTCAGGGTGCCTAGTCCTTTCATTGCCATGTGACGCTTTTTAGCACTGGAGTCTTGGGCTCTTTCTGCAAAGATGAAAATCACCTTCTTCAGAGATTCCCGATTCTGGAGCCTCAGTTTCCCAGACACCTGTGTGAGGGGTCAAAAATGCTTCAATTTGGGAGCATTCAGAGCATGCAAACCCCACCCTTTAAAGAAAATCCTGCTCGATTTTCCCTTCTTCCTCCACTTAAAGATGCCTGGTTTTGTTGGAAATAGATTCGTTTGACCTACATAATGAAGACATTGATACTTTGGGTGGGGTTGCATAACATGTATTTGTTGGGAAAATATTCATTTAATCTATGAAATAAATTGATGGTTTGGGGGAATTATGAAGAGAGATGCTCTAGAACAACTTTGGGATGTGAGCAATGTTGAAAGGGAGGGGTGTCGTTATAGGGTTGTGTCCGCCCAAACAGACTTGTTGGCATTCTAACCCTTGGTACATCTGAATGTGACTTTGTTGGGAAACAGGGTCTTGAAAGATGTTTCAGTTAACATGAGGTCATTAGGGGTGGGCCCTAATTCAATATGACTTAGGTCCCTATAAAAAAAAGGCACAGGAAAGAGATACAGAAAGAAGACCACGTGGTGAAGGAGGCAGAGATTGAAGTGGTACATCTGCAAGCCAAGGAATGCCACAGATTGCCAGGAACCACAAAGCCAGGAGGAAGCATGGAGGGGTCTTCCCCGGGAACCCTTGGAGAGAACTTGACCCTGCCTACACTTTGATTGCAGAGCCCTGGTGTGGCGCGGTAGGTTAATGTGCTAGACTGTAAAGCCATTTGAACTGCAAGGTCAGCGGTTAAAGCTCACCAGCTGCTCCTTGGAAACCCTCATTGTGGGTCAGAATGGACTCAACGGCACTTAACAACAACACTTTGATTGCAGATTTCTAGCTTTCAAAATTGTGAAACAATACATTTCTGGGGGTTGTTTGTTTATTTGTTTATCTTTAAGCCATCCAGTTTATGAGACTTTGTTATGGCAACCTAAAGAAATGAAGTCAGAGTTGTTGTTTTGTAGGTGTTGTGTAGAATGAGAATATGGATCTCTTCCAAGTAAAAGATAAGCTGTTAGTTTGCCCATCTTTTTAAAAAAAATCACTTGATGCTTCTTCCTCTTCTAGTTCCTCCCTATTTTTCTGTTTTTCTGCTCTATTTTGTAGCTAAGCACCTTGAAAAACTCTTTATACTATTTATATTTTTCACTCTCTCTCCTCCCATTCTCTCACATCCACTCCCACTCCAACATGTGGCTAAATCCAAGGGTCAGTACTCAGGGTTCATTTTGTCAGCCCCCTCAACACTGGATGCAAAGAGCAGTCCACAAAACATTCCAGGCACTTGCAGGAGGGTTCAGCTCCAGCATGCAGGAATCTAAGTAATGCAAATCAGGGAAGGAAATGCAAAGATCAGAGAAACTGGAAAACAGTGTGTGGGTGCAGAAACCTGGACTTCTAGGACTGAACTTTAAGTAACTGCAGGGCATGAGCCAGGTTACTCTCCGGAGTAAGCACAGGGACACTGAGACCAGGAAAGCCCTGCTGGTCTGCAGGACACAGGGCATGGCAGCACAGACTAGTCAGAAGAAGGCTTGCTGGTGCAGTGGTTAAGTGCTTGGGTGCTAACCAAAGAGTCAGTGGTTCAAACCCACTAGCCACTCCATGGAAGAAAGATGTAGCAGTGTGCTTTTGTGAAGATGGCAGCCTTGAAGAACCCATGGGAAAGCTCTACTTGGTCCTATGTTGTTGTTGTTATGTGCCATGGAGTAGGTTCCAACTCATAGTGACCCTGTAAAGGGTTTCCGAGGCTATAAATCTTTACAGGAGCAGAAAACCTCATCTTTCTCCTGTGGAACAGCTGGTAGTTTCGAACTGCTGACCCTGAGGTTAGCAGCCCGATTCGTAACCACTACACTACCAGAGTCCCTTACTCTATCCTATAGGGTCCCTATTAGTCAGAAACAACTTGCTAACAGTGGTATTAGAGTCAGAAACAGGCCTGTCTGAGGATCTTGTTGTTGTTGTTATTGTTAAGAGCCGTTGAGTCGATTCAGACCCATAGCGACGCTGTGTAGACTTTCTGAGGAGCAGCTGGTAAGCTTTGAACCACTGACCTTGAAGTCCAGACCTACTTTGCAGTCCAGCACATTAACCCACAGGGCCACACCAGGACTCCTCCTTCTAAGTATGGAGAGCTGCTATAGCAGAAACACCACAAGGGAACGGCTGTAACAAACAGAAATTGATGCTGTCACAGTTTAGGAGGCTAGGAGTCCCGTTTCAGAGCCCTAGCTCTGGAGAAAGTCCCTGTCTCCTTTCAGCATCTGCAGGCCCAGCATGTCTCAGTTGTGTCTTGGCCTCAGTCTTCCTCTGGATCTAGGAGGCCTCAGTCTTTCTCTGGATCTAGGAGCTTCATTGTGCAGGAACCCCAGGGCCAAAGGACATGCTATCTTGGTGGCAGTAGGTCCCTCCTTCTCTGCTCAAATCTCTCTACTTTTATCTCCTGTCAGATGAAAGGTGTTGTGTGCCACACTCCTGGGAATCTCCCATAATCAGGGTGTTTATGGGATTAAGTGGGGTGTTGTTGTTAAATGCCTATTGAGTCATTTCCAACTCATAGTGACCCTATATAGGGTTTCCCTGGGCTGACAGGTGAGGACCTTGTTGTTAACAGCCCAGTGCTTCTCCTACTGCACCAGAGCAGGTGTGTCTCACCCATAATCCTCTTAGTGGTTTATCAACCAAATGACATCATGGAGGACAGCTACATCTCAACTATCAAACTACTAAGAATCCTGGCCCAGTCAAGTTAACACAAAACCTTAACTAGCACAAAGACCATGAAAGATCAGACCAGAACAAAGCCTTTAGCTTCAACAAAGCCCTCACCTCCTTAGTGAGTGGCAGGGCTGGAGACGAGATTGCGAGCCTTCTGTCTCCACAGCTCAATGGGGAGATGCAGTGCTAACTAAACCTCGGGATGATTCTGGAGATTCATTGCCGTCTATTCTATACATTACCATGAAGTCAGCAGCAAGTTCAATTCCTCTCAACTAACTTTGGTTCTACTATAAACATTTTATACTAGCTGAAAAAGCCATCATAGAAAAGAGATCAAAGTTGCCAGGGACTCAGGGGAGGAGAAGAGTGGAATAGGTGGACCCCAGGGCATTTTGAGGGCAGTGAAACTATTGTTTTGATATTATAACGGCAGATGTGTGACATTATACATTTGTCAAAAGCCATAAGACTGTACAACACAAAGAGAGAACCCTGATGGAAACTATGGACTTTACTATTGTTGTTAAGTGCCATCGAGTAGGTTCCAACTCATATCAACCCTGTCTAGGGTTTCAACCACCAACCTTGTGGTTAACAGTCCAGTGCTTATCCAACAGCATCAAACCGGGATTTTATCAAATGAATAAATACATTTTTTAAAAAAACAACTGCATTATTGAATGGGGTGATAGTTAAGGCTTTGTGTCAACTTGGCTGGGCCTGGATGCTCAGTGGTTTGGTAGTTCAGAGGAAGTAATCTCCCAGGACGACATCTAATAGAATGCAACCATCCCCCTGTGTGGTCAGCTTGGATCTGATGTAATTATCCTATCTGTTGAAAGTCCTCACTTCTATGACATAAAGAACTGGACTGCTAACCACAAGGTCAGCAGTTTGAGCCCACCAGCTTCTCCCCAAGAGAAATACAAGGTTTTCTGATCTCAAAATATTTACAGCCTTGGAAATCCTATATAGGATCACCAGGAGTCAGAACAGGAAGTCCAGGTGTGGAGCTGTAGGATCAGCACTGTATTGCTAGCTACAAGTTTGGCAGTTCAAACTCATGAGCTGCTCCCTGGAAACCCTATACAGGGTCTGTATGAGTCAGAACTGATAGAGCTCAGAGACACCTACTACCACCACGAAGGAAGAACCAGGAGCGGAGTGTGTCCTTTAGATCTGGAGTCTCTGCACTAAGAAGCTCCTAAATCCAGGGAGAGAATGATGTTAAGATGCGTGGAGATTTCCAAGGAATCCTGGGCTTACGGATACTGAAGGAAGACAAGGCCCTTTCCCCAGAGTCAGTACTGAATTTGGACTTCTAGACTCCTAAACTGGTGTGGCGCTGGGGGTTAATGCGCCAGACTGCAAAGCCGTTCAAACTGCAAGGTCGGCGGTTCAAGCTCACCAGCTGCTCCTCGGAAAGCCTATACAGGGTCACTATGGTTCAGAATCGACTCGACAGCACTTAACAACAACAAATTGTGAGAGAATAAATTTGTATGTTAAAGGCATCCATTCATTTGTGGTATTTCTGTTATAGTAGCACCAGATAACTAAGACAATGAAAAACTAATTTGCTCTGTAAACTTTCACCCAAACAACAATAAATTGTATATAAAGAACTTCCACCAAACTTTTTTCAGAAGAAGGAAGCTCAGTGGAGTGAGCCTAACTCACCACAGACTAGGTAAGTCTACAGTTTACAGAATGGCTGCTGGGAAGGGATATTTGTTCATAATATTTTATATCAAACCTTAGAAAAGAAAGACATCATTGGTGTCCTTTTCTTCCTGGACTGGAAGGTGGGGATGGGAAGGGATTGGCCCAGGATTCTCTTCTTTTTTTGGTCCATTGAACTGAAAAAAAATAATCACCATCATCATAATACTTCCAACTCATCATCATTGACAAACATCATTCTATAAAGGTTGGTGCCAGGGCAGAAATAAAAAAACAACAGAATTTCTGAGACCTTTCTTCAAGTAGCTTTTTACTTTGGTGAAGATCTGGGACAGTCACAGGAAAAGATGAAGAGCAATTCAAGGCAGCCCAAGAGAAGCTGGTGGGGAGCAAGTTCCTGCTCTCTGGCTTTTTCTACATTATTTTACAGACTTCTTGCATCAGAATCACCAAAGAAATATAATCCCTGAGTGGTGTAAATGTTTTACACTCAGAAGTTTTGTTAAGTGCCACTGAGTCAGTTCCAACTCACAAGGACTGTGTAGGGTTTCCAAGGTGCAGCTGGTGGGTGTGAACCACCGATCTTGTAGTTAGCAGTCCAGTGATTATCAACTGCAGCACCATACCAGAATTCCTCAAATCCTAACATAAAAATTGGCAGTTCAAACCCACCCAATGGTACCATGGAAGAACAACCAGGCAATCTGATTCCTTAAAGATTATAGCCAAGAAAATGTTATGGAGTAAGGATGTGGGAAAATTGGAACATTTATCCATTGCTAGTGGGAATGCAAAATGGCACAGCCAATGTAGAAAACAGTGGTGATTCCTCAAAAAAATGAAAAATGGAACTGCTATATGTCCCTGCAATTCCACTCCTTGGGACAGGCCTAAAAGACATGGGAGCAGACTCAAAGTGAGACTTGAACACTAATGTTCATTGTGGTACAGTCGCCAAAAGGTAAAAACAACCTAAATGTTCATCAGCAGATGAATGGCTTATCAAACTGTGGTAATACATACAATGGAATACTACTCAGACAGTAAGAGAAATAAACTCTTGATACATGCTGCAGAATGGATGGTGCTGGAAGACATTAGACTGAGTGAATTAAGCCAAACACAAAAGGACAAATACTGTATGACCTCACTTATATAAAAAGACAAATGTATAATGACCAAAGTTTATTAGTGGTTACAGTGGGCAGGAGGGTTTGTGGAGATGGATAGGGCAGGGTTGCACAACTGAGGATAGTAATTGTTGTCAATAAACTGAGCGTCTATAAAGAGTTGATTTGGCAAAATTGTGTGTTAGATACATTTACAACAATGACAAGAAAGAGTGGCATAACTGATAAGTTTTGCTAAAATGGGCTTAGAATTTTCCCAGAGTAGTAAATCAGAGTAGTAAATATTCTTCTTGTTAAGCCTTTGTAGAGTATGGTGCCTTAGATGGAATCCTGAGCCCCTCCCAGAACCTTCTGAGTTGGGACATTCCCACTTGAAAAGCCATGCAGACCAACTCAGAACTACTGGGAGAACAGAAGATTCTCACTGAAAGAAAGACCTGCAGAAAAATTCAGATTGTTTTGACTATTTGAGTTTCAAGCAAACTGTTTGCTTTGGAGGCATCAAGGTAAGAAAAGTCAGCCCACCAGGGAAAACCCCCTTCTAGAACTGAAACTTAAAGGGAACCAGTGAGCAG